CGAACTATGAAGGATCTTTATAATAATATAAGTTCTCATTTAATTATTTCATTTTTAAAAGAATTCGATTTGTTGAATGATTTCTAAATAGATAAATCTTTTATGTTTGGATATAAAATTAGTATCTTCGATTGTGAGTGGCTGTAACCTCAAAGGGGGTTAAAATACTGTAAAATGATTGACCTCCTGAGAGGATACGTAAGTCCAAAAAACATTCAAAGTAATGTTCAATTTCCCACTGTTTTTAATCGTAGAATACGTGTTTTTTAATGTATGGCTAGATTTACTAAATTCCTAACAGCTGAAGGGATGGTGTAAATCCAGCTAGGGTCTATGCAGGAAGCAAATGTACTGTAAGCCCCCATGGTCCCTAGTATGGTGATCTACCTTCAGTTGTTGGCAACATATAGCCTGTTTTTGCCTTGTGTTGTCATCTATAGTTAGTGAGTGAGTGAAATATGCAAATTTGCGTAACGGCTACCAAGCTACATCAAGTGTCCTCGTACTTTCAGTCAACATCACGGTTTTTTTTCTTATTGTCTTCATAGAGCAATAGTCCTGGGACTGTTTCCCATATAGGCCTTAAATCCAGAGTTGGCGGCACCCCTACTCCAACATAGGTTTCTTGGTGTTTTCTTCTAGTTAAAACAATACATTTATGAATTCCAAACATTAACCAAAAATAAATCTGTCCGTTCTGTTACAAAATGTGTGTTTACTGTTGATGGTTGTAAACTTACCAAATATGAACAAAACATGCAATATGCCAAACAATGATGAATTTATGACAAATATTTCCATGATATCATTTAGTTCTACCGTATATAACTAACTACAACACTTATAATAATGTTTGTAAGTGCACATGTGATAAATGAACACATTTTTGTCCCAAATCGTTCATTTTTTTATCTCTCATTTTAACGCTCACAGTGACATTGTTTGTTATATTATGACAACTTTTGCTTTTATACTGTGATGCATGCATATTCTTATGTTGGTATATTTAAGATCCATCAAGCCAGAAGAAACTAATTAACCTTTCCATATCCCTACCCCTAGCAACAGCAAATGTGAGTGACGGGTGAGCCCAAGAACATTGAGTTATGGAATCTGTGAGCAAACGCAACTTATGATATATTTAGACATTATGCAATGCATTTACTGCACGTCAGCTAGATAACATTGCACAACTAAACAGGATGGAATCTTGATTACACGACTGTTGGGTTGTGATTTCAAGATCTAAATGATGGAGATAAAACGACCTCGTACAGCAAGTACTGGCAAATGTTTATGCCATAGTTACTGACAAAATCCGGGAAAATTGGAAACATTTACACCAACATCGTGGAACACATTCTGTAGTGCTGCAAAACGTCGAAAAGGCTCTGTTTACATGAAGTTGAAGAAGTATATTGATAGTGAAATTGAGTTACCCAAGGCTGTGACTGAGTTGGCGAAGCACCATAACTGTTATGCTACATACACCTTAGGCAAGAGTATTGAACTCTCTGAACAAAAACAACAGCAGACACAGAAACAAAGTGAGACATCAGAGTGTAGCTCAAGTTTAGTACCATTGTGTCACGATCCATTGTTTCTCAATCAGACAAACGTCTGCATGGAGACGGGCGCAAAGTAGAAGCTGCCAGCCCAATGACTTTGTACTCAGCTGTTGAAACATTATGTAGAGCTGCAACAATATTCAGAGGGTACTCATACAGCTGGCAGGAGGTGCAAGAGGAGGAACCGATAGTATTGCTTGTGATGTACTTGATCATGTCGTAGTACGTATACCCACAGTAAACGTCTTACCTCTGTCCAGGAAAACACATCCAGAGACAATGCCTATAATGAGGCATTGAAACGTCTTTTAAATGAAATTCAAAAGGGAATCATTGATAGATGTGAAGTTTGGAAGATGTCTGATGTTATAGATAGATTTATTGAAATTCTTGAAGATGTGGACATCGATCAGCCAAATTACAGGTCAGACAAACTGAAGAAACGTATCATAAAGATATTTGGAAAGACGATTTCTTTCTGGCATCCAAAGTTTCGAAGTGAATCTGAGATGATATTTTCTGATATCGTCCCAAAAGGCATGCATATTGAAGCAGGGGCCTCAAATGTCAGAGATTTGCGGAGGCAAGATATGGAAGATTTTGATAATGTTGGACTACATCTTGATAAGAAAACTGAACAAGTGCGTCAAAAATGCTTAGTATCACTGATGGTTCACCATGAGGTACAAACAGTGAGAGACATGCCTTGGCCACCATCACCGCAGGACATTTCAGAAGAGTCACTAAGCGGTGTGGTTCTTGTGATTCTATTCAATCTTTTGGCATCGATTATTGTTGGAATCGTCGATGATAAAAACGAAAAATTGAATATGGAACATCGGTTTAAAGTTCCGGAGCCAGTAGAGAGGCAAATTCTTGCAATTGCACAAGACATAGTGTATTGCAGCCGTAAAGGTAGAATATGTACTCCAAAGCATGTAACATTGGCTGCTTCAGTGCATTATCTCACAGATAGTATGGAACTAATGTCTACATTTAACCACTTCGGACGTTACATTTCAAAATCAAAGCTCTCAAGAAATTGAAAGCGCTCTGGCAGAAATGCGCCCACAAAATCAAAGGGCTGCAGTGGTGCCGGCAAACATATCTTCAAATGTTCCAGTATGTTTAGTTTGGGATAACAGTGACTTCCAGAAAGAGACTGCCTCTGGTAAGAACACAACTCATTGCACCACTGGAATTGTTATACAGCCTAGAGTATCAACTTGTTCTCTCCCACAAAGAGAGGCAGACACTGCTCCAACTCGCAGAAGATCAGTGCAGCCAATTGTCGACCAGTTTATTGAAGAGTATACATATGGCAACAAACGTGTTGGACCTGAACGAATTCAGGGGCCAGTAGAACTGTTAGCTTACAGAACTGCAGAAGAACCATAACATGCATACAGGACAGAAATGGTTCACGTCACGATATGACTGAGATATTGCCGATGTGACGTTAAATCTTAACTCACTCACTCACGTCTTACTGCTGACTTCACATGCCCGCAAGAGGAACACATTCAGACCACTCCTGGCTGGTGTGGTTTCAATGATATAATAAGAGAGCATGATGTCATTCCTTTGCCACACAGTGTAGGGTACCTTCCTGTGATAAGATACTCCACCAACAAATCTCAATTCAGTCTACACCCTCATGCACAGATCTATGGAAACTGTTGATATGATCAGTTGTAATTCTAACTATTCAGTGCTAGTGACTTGCGATCAGGCATTTTTTTGCACTTTCTTTTGAAATATACCATTCACCACTGCATGATACCTTAGAGAGAATTGTGTTGCGCATGGGAGCTTTCCACATCCTACTCAATTTCCTGGCAGTTATTGCGCGGCATTGTTTAGAAGCAAAACCAGAAGCGTTTCTCCACATGGGAATGGCTGGAGGATTGATGGAGACATTATAGTGCACTGGATGGACACCCCAGCAGCTCCAAAAGCTGTGATTGAATGTGTTAGCTGCAAATGACAGAGTTGCGCCAGTATTCGTTGCACATGCAGGGTCAATCAAATAAGATGCACCGGTGCTTGTCACTGCAATATCAACGAATGTCAGAATCGGACAAACACAACTACAGATATGGATCAACACAATTATTATCTGAAGATTTTGACTGAGAATCATCGTGAACTAAACTGTTTTGCACACAACTTTTGCTGCCATTAGTTCTCTCACAAAGGCAACAAACCAACTATTAACAGTGTTGCACAAATAGAGTGAGTGAGTTTAGTTTTACGCAGCACTCAGCAACATTCCAGCTATATGGCGGCGGTCTGTAAATAATAGTCTGGACCAGACAATCCAGTGATCAACAGCATGAGAATCGACCTGTGCAATTGGGAACCGATGACATGTGTCAACCAAGTCAGCAAACCTGACCACCCGATCCCGTTCTTACGACAAGCATGGGTTACTGAAGATCAATATTCTAACCCGGATCTTCACCGGTATGCACAAATAGAAATCAGCTGCAGACACTATATTTTTATATAACATCATAGCTTTTGAACATACGAAAATGTTGATATGCATTTGGTATAACTTGCAAACACACATATTTGATCAGATAAAACAAAAATGCTAATCATGAGCAAATTGCAGTAAAAAACACAATAAATTTGTGAAGAACAAAGTTATTTTGCACATATTTAACTTTAAACATCTCTGTAAATGCTATCATCATGCTACCAGGTTAATTTTGCATGTTTCTGCTAATTTCTGAGTAGATTTATAGCAATTTGATTTACATATGACACATAATATGTTTTTTGGTTAATTGGTCATTTTTACTGTATCCTCGATAATGAAACTTGATTTTTGTAACAGAACGGACACTTTTATTTTTGGTTAATGTTTTCAAATCATGTATATACACACCAAATAGTATTAAGAATTAACGTCACATCGGCAATATTTTAGCCATATCGTGACGAGAACATATATGACATGGAAATGGAATTTATGTATATTATATAAACCTGTCGACAAAGGACAGTAAAACAACCAGAATATCACAATTAGAATTAAAACTAGCGTGGAAAGTTAAAACTAATAGCACTATTTGGACAATACAATATAAAAACAGGCTATAGATCGCCAACAACTGAAGGTAGATCACCAAACTAGGGACCATGCCAAATATCATGAATTGTCAAGATACCTATGTTAGAGCAGGGATGCACGAAAGTCATAATTTCTGGAACAGCCCTAGGACTACAAAGGACTGTAAAGTCATGCCAACACTAATCGTGTAAATCCCCATGCTCTACAACCAAAGAAAGTATTATAATTCCAGGCAAACAAAGAGTCGTGACAATCAAATAATATCCATCAATTGCTTAAAATTAATATCTCTTTAAACATTTTGTGTGTATCTAAAAAGTTATTATATACACATTATTTTCCTTCATCAGGTCATTAATCCGGTGGCTGGTATAGTTCGCAAGACTGGCGCGTCAGAGGTCACCATCAAACCAACTGATTCAGACTTCAAACAGTATGAGATTATCATAGCCAACATAAATGCCTCAGTTGGGGATGAGGATAAGCATTTTGAACAGGCACGGGTAATAGGAACATCCGGAGGCAACAACGGGTGTGACTGGCCTCACATTCATATTGCTGTCAAGAAGAAATCTCAAGGAGCGGGTGATGACTTGTGCTTCTACATGGACCCATCACCCTTTGTCAATATTTTGAAACTGAAACCTGTCTGGCGCCAGGAATGCAAAGACTTCATCACTAAACACTTCGGACAAGTTGCAGATCTGATATCGATGCCTAATTTTTTGAAACAGGTTTTGGGAAAGCTGAAACGAGAAGCGCTAGACTGGCTGAAAGGGTTTTCTGTTCAACTGCTAAAAAAAATCATCCCCCCAGATTCGGAACTAGGGAAGGCCATGAGCTTCACAAGCAGTATTCTCGGATCTCTGTCTGACGTAACACAACTGTTCACAGGATTTGAGTAATTACCATTATAATTATTTGTACGATTGAGATGAACTTAACATGATTGTTAAGAAAAACATTGTTTAGTGTCATCGGAATGCGAGAATGTCGGATTAACGAGAGTAATTATCACTGTTTTAAATGGTTCCCTAATTTTTTGTCGGAATAACGTGATTGTCGGATTAATGAGTGTCGGATTAACGAGAGCTGACTGTATAGTCAAAAGCATGTTTTCCACATACAAACGTTTCATGCTTTCAAGTATCTGTAATAAACCTATGATGGATTTGTTTCAGGGGCCATATGAATCATTTCCTCTCTGCAATTAAAACCAATGTCAAGGGGAAAGATTTTGGATCATTTTCGAGAATGTTACTGGCAAATGACCGCTTGAAGAACCGTGTCCCTAAACTGTCTGGTTTGCTTGGAAATGCAACGTCATTACTGACGAAATTACCAATCGGTAATCTGAAAACATTTGCAAATGGTGGTCTTGGTAAACATCTTAGACAACTTGGAATTATTCCCCAAGGAGGGAGACTAGCCAGCATCTCTCTCCTGAAAACGTCCATGTTTACAAGTAAGAACCACAAAACAATGTCATTAAAACACTACAGTTACGAAACATAATAAAGCAACCATCTGTTTGTTAGAGAGTGCAATAAAAGTTAAAAGCGATATACGAGCACACAGGCATGACGGAGGACAGACTGTTTACTTCCTTGATTAAGGAAAGCATTTTTCATATGTTAAAAGAAATGGCATTGTTTAGTTTCGTAGTTATTGCAACTTGACTTTTCACAAATGCCTTGCGCTAGCTGTCGTAGTAATTATGCACCTTGCATTGCTTGTACCATATCCATGCTCATGGGTTTCTACCAAAGCTGTACACGCTAAGGGCTCTAATAAGTTCACGCTTTCCTCCCACGTCAAGATGATATGCCGTCATATTACTTAAGTATTGTTCAAAGAGACTACAACTGGTTCAACTTAGTTCAGTTATTGTCCGAAGTGGCTCCTCACTCTTGAACAAATACACTTTTTTTCTAAATTTCATTGTAGTCAGTCTTTTAAATTAAAATATCAGTGTAGTTTACTTGGATTCATTTTGTCGCATTATGGTTTCAGTGTGTCCAAACTTTAAAACTGGCTTCCAGTATGGCCATGATCAGATGTGTACAGCTGATGAAGATTGTCTTGGATTCTCTTGTCATATTGATATACCACTGAGCAATATTAAGGGTGGAATCCCATTGAAAGTCAAGGTTCATCCTCTCGAGGCCAAGGTTGACGTTGAGCTGAATGGTGAAAGAATGATTGCTCCCAAAGGTAATGCAATGGATATTAAATTCCCAAGTTATGGTAGAGATGGTATTAATTAATAATAACAATTGACTTAGTTTTCCATGTGTTTGTGATTGATGGAAGAGGTACAGGATCTGCTCACGTTTTCGCGAATTCCAGATATAGCCAATATTTGATAATCGTTCATAAACCAATGCGATTGATTTAGTCAGCACTAGCCTAAAAAAGATGCATTATGATTATATATATATTTGGACAAATCTGTTTCTTTTTCGTAGCGTTCATTTCAGAACGATTTAGTGTGGTTGTTGTATCTCAGTTTGAAAGACCCACTTGCCACCCCTATGTATGGCACTTATGACACTGTGTCCACTTGAGTTGTTACATTGGCTTTGTAGATTATACAGATATATCTGGCAACTCAAAGGAAACAATGTCAACTATGAAATAAAATGGAACATTTTAATGCAATCAAACATAAGCAAGCGAGACTCAGGATTATGTAACCTCTGTATTGAAGAGAAGCTAGAAATTCTCAACAACAAAGGCAACAAGATCAACAAAAAGAGTGAACTACTTTCAACCATGGAAAGCACGCAAGCCGAATGAGAAAAAAATAGTTCCAAGCAACTTGATTTCAGTTTGTCTGATGATTGCCGCATAGAGCACTTGTGTTTGTGTGTGCATGACACTCTGAGTAACAAACATGAAATAATCAAGTATACTAAACATACATATATACTTGCTCCGCCACATATATATATATACATCTGAAGATGTTGCCTTGATCGATTAAATTCAATCCCTTATTTCATCATTGCATTCATATTTTATTAACTAACATCCAGATTATTTCCCCCACATAACAAAACCAAAAACTAAATATGATGTAGGTATTTTAGAAACGATTGGCATCAAATATCACTTTTGCATAAGGACTCATGACGTCTTTTCCACATTGTAGTAGTGTATATGGTAACGGTATCTTTTTTGTAGGCAACAGTGTCTTCTGGACGGAATATCGACCAGTTTCATTCGGTCTCAAAAGTTCTGTGGAAATACAGGGTGGAGAACTTGTAGTTTCGCTATCTGTCAAGCCTTGCTACAGATCAACGTGTGTTCATGACATCAAAATCATCAGGCAATTAGCTTTTCATCAGAGACACAAACATGATATTTCTGGTTAGTAAAACAGCTTACTAATTTACATTGATGTCTTTTTTGTGATAGTGAGTATAAATCCTACGTCACATCGGCAATATTTCATCAATTTCGTGACGACAGAAAGTCATATACTGTGAGTAAATACATCTATATATTCTACAATCTGCCGAAAGGACAGTATAACAACTAGAGTATCACAAATTAAAATTAGTTTGAGTTCAGTCTAAAATGCTTAATCATTTAAAAAACACACTATAAAATCGGGCTATATATCGCCAGCAACTGAAGGGAGATCATTCTATTACTTTTGCTACCTGCATCTCTTCAGTTGTTTTGAGCAAGTTAGCCAAGCAATTCTACAATTAAAACTCTGGTAATGATAAACATGGATTGAATGATGTGGTCTTCAGTACCCTCTTCAGAGGACAATTATTCTAGGAGGTATTCAACCCCCTCCAAAGGTCCTGCCACACACAACCTAAGTTATGTATTCATTTGACCAAATATAAAACGAAGCATTAAATGACTAAAAAAACATATCCTTTATAATAATAATAAATGCATATTTATAATGCGCCCCTTCCACACCCTAAGGCATGCTCAAAGCGCTACAGAATATTTACACTGGAGTATTTACAGATGAAGTTATACATAGTAAAAACATATCCTTTAAAGATGATACTGTGAAATATCGATCCCATGTAATGGCAAAAAATCAATACAGTTAAGCAAGACATGCCTGACTGTGATTCTTTCATCACTAGGGAACCGCCGCCATATAGCTGGAATATTGCTGAGTGCGGCGTAAAACTAAACTCACTCACTCACTCACTCACTCATCACTAGGGATACCAATACGCCACCATCCTTGGATCCATCTGTAAATAAGGATTTGTATGTGTTATATTTACATTTTATTTGATACATTTTTCAACTTCCTTGTATAATATTATAATTCATTAGTTTAAAGGGAAGATTCATTAAATGTTATCAGTGATAGGTCAGCTTGTGACCTAGGAGGAGAATGGAAGAGCTCAACATGGTCCTCAACATCAGGGAGGATTGATGCCGGAAGGAGATATTTGCAGATAATACCAGCAGCAGAAATGAAAGGTTTTACTCTTATCTCAAGTCGATCCCATGTATTATAATTCATTAGTTTAAGATTCATTAAATATTGTTGTCAGTGATAGGTCACTCTTGTGACCTAGGATCCATCTGTAAATAAGAGTGTTATATTTACATTTTATTTGATAAATTTTTGTTTATATTATAATTCCGGTTTAAGATTCAGATATATTTGTCATGCAGCTCAATACCAGCAGCAGAAATGAAAGGTTTTACTCTTATCTCAAGAGGCAGAACAAAAGAAGACTCCTTGTTGTACATATCCTCATAGAGGGGATTAAAGACACAGTTATATGCAGGGTTAAGACTATAATTTAGTGATATACTGCAAAGATAATTTGATACGGCGTTTGTTAAGAGAAGGCTAATCAGCTTCAACGTCGACACTGTCAATAGGGGAAGTTCTGAAAGATCCAAAACAAAGTCTTAGACCTTGGTGGTGGATAGAATCAACTACTATACTGAGTCAAAACAGAAACTTCACAAAATGTAATTTGAAAAATATTGAATAATTTTTCTGTGATGATACATCTATGTATCCGAAATGGGATCCCTATCTTTCGACTCTAGAAAAACGTTAGAAAACCCCACTCAAACCCATCCATTCGTCGTGCAAATGACGTTAGTGCCAAATCAGGTTTTGCACGTGCAGTCGATCACGTGATCTTCGCATCGAAGTTTTCTTCAAATGCACGTGTTTGCATTGGCCTCAAGAATTGAAAAAACACTTGTAAACCACAGTTCTAACGGTACTTGAAATGCCACGATTGTCAAATGCGCAACGTGAACGTGCCGTTGGCATGTTGCAAGCGGGAAGATCAGTTATTGACGTCGCAAGAGCAATGGGATGCAGCCGTCGTACTGTGTATGACTTGCGAGGTCGTCTACAACCAGCTGGCACCACTTCTGATCGCCCAAGGTCGGGTCCTCCGCGTGTGACGTCACGAGCAGAAGACCGTCAAATCGTCCTACGTCACCTACGTGACAGATTTCTGCCGGCTACACGAACCAGGGCTGATATGTTTAGAGGTCGACTGTCCTCAGAGACCATTCGAAATCGGTTGCGGGCTGCCAATCTCCATTCTCGACGTCCACATCGTGGGCCAATATTGACGCCGTTTCATCAACGTCAACGTCTGCTGTGGGCCCAACGTCACCTCTGATGGACCCAGAGAGACTGGAATCGAGTCGTCTTTAGCGATGAATCCAGGTTTACCCTCAGATGCGCGGACGGCAGGCATAGAGTCTGGAAACGACGTCGTGAACGGTATGCCCAATGTTGTGTACAGGAAGTCGACAGATTCGGGGGCGGAAGGTGCATGGTGTGGGGTGGTTTCTGTGGGAACAATCGTTCCCGACTTCTGGTCATCCGTGGAAACCTCACAGCTGCTGCTTATCACGACCAGGTGCTCACCCCTGAACTCGTTCCTTTCATGGCGGTTCATGGCATAGGTCTACAGTTCCAGCATGATAATGCTCGGCCGCATACAGCGATGTTGACACGAAATTTCCTTCAAAACGCTGGAATCAACGTCATGGACTGACCATCGAGGTCCGCTGACCTTAATCTAATAGAGCACGTTTGGGATGCACTTGGGAGAACGCTTCATGGTCTTAGGAACCAACCTTGCAGGAACGTGGCGCTGCCTTGCAAGAGCAATGGCGCAGAGTCCCCAACCACGTGTTCACAAGCATCAGGCAGTCGATGAGGAGACCCTGTTTGGCAGTGGTGAATGCGCGGGGCGGCCATACACGATATTGAACTGAGAAATTTCGCATTTTTATTCTTGTGACTTGACATTCTGTATACCCATGTTTTGGAACGGCGGTGTAGCCTAATGGAACTGATTATGGCACTGTCTGTGTATCGAGTACATCACACATATCTCAGCAATGAAATAATAACAATTTAACCATCTTACAATCTCTTGTTCTTTTATAGTGGCCTGAAGAAAGAATGTGAAGTTTCTTTTTTGACTCAGTATAGTTTCAGACTGCGTTTACAAGCCCCCACCATATACGATGGTGCCGTAATCACGTTGTTATCGGGTGAGTGATCTGTGATCTGTTTGATTCCCTCCCCACTTTGAATTGGGAACAACTTTCAATAAATCTAAGACCTTCAGGCATCTAGAATCGGTTCGGAATCTTTATGAGGTTTATATTTTCGACAGAAATGTACACATTTGGTCTTTATCTGCGCAAATTTAAAGCCATTATCAAGTGACCATTTATATATTATGTTTTAACACATATGTAATTGTCTCTCTATGGTATGGATATTTTTACCATGACATGAGGCGTTATTTTCAAAATCATCCAAAAACAATGACTCATCTATCTTTTGAGAGACTATTGGATTTTATGCTAAACAAAGTTACAGACAAAATACTGCCTTATGGAACCCCCTGATCTTGATTATAATGGTCATACAGGGTTGATCCAAAACGAACTTGAAATTGTCTGTCTGTCTGCTAAAAATTGTGATATAGAATGAGACAGATGGCCTCTCAAACCAAAGGCATGTAAATGTTTCCATGTTTTAATCATAAGCTTTTTCCAGGTTGAAAAAGATTGATTCAGCATGCTCGTTATATACAATGGAATATTAATGAATGATTCTAGTCGAACCAAATGGTCAACAGTGCTTCTATAATCAAAGGCAAAAGATAGTGTGATCAACACATTTGTTTGTATAAATGGGAAAATGGTTATAACGCATTTTAATATCCTTTATAACTCACTTAATCAATGAAAGGTGGCAATCCATTGGAATGGTTGAAACAGGAACACCCCAGCGAAACGTTGCACGGCAGTTTAACGTGCACAGGAACACCATATACCGCTTGTAGAGATGCTATCAACAAAACTCCGTCGTTGCAGTCCGTCCCCGAAGTGGCCGTCCACCTGTAACCACACCACGCAACGATCGTTGGATTCGAACCACCCATCTGCGCCAAAGATTCAAAACCAGCCACATTGACAGCTCAAACAGTTCCTGATGTCAACAGGAGATTGCCAAGGACCATTCGCTGGCGTCTGACTGCACGCGGGATACGTGCTAGACGTCCTGCCAGACGACACATTTGACATTACGTCACCAACGTCTACGACTCCAGTTATAGATATGTCTTCACTGAAGAGTCCAGATTCCTATTGCACCGCGCTGATGGCCGAACCGAGATCTGTCCCCTATCGAACACGTCTGGGACGAAATGGAGAGGAGATTGAGATGTTATCCAAATGCTACAGTCATGCGTCAGGAACTACGCCAGGTGCTTCCACAGATATGGAATGCCGTTCCATAAGACTTCTTACGATGTTTTCCGTTTTACATCCCTAGTGATGAGAGAATCACGGTCAAGCATGTCATGCTTGACTGTATTGCTTTTTCCATCACGAGGGATAAGTATTTCAATGTAAAAACTGTGAATGATCGCTTTAGTACTGTTAATTTTCATTTAATTGTCGAATTAAAAAATATATATAGGATTATTAGATAGATTTTGATGAATGATTAAATAGCTAAATATTTTATTATTGGTACTTTAGATTAGTAACTAAGTTTGCTAGTGGATGTACCCTTAGCGGCGGTTGAAATATTGTAAAAGTATTCTACTCTTGAGAGGGTATGTAAGTCCCAAGGCATTCAATGTAAATTTAAACCTACTATTATTTTTAATCGTAGTATATATGGTCTTTACATTTGTGGGTAGATTATCTAAAATTGCTAATAGCTGAAGGGATGGTGTAAATCCAGCTATAGTCCATGCAGGAAGCGAATGTACGGTCAGTCCCTATGGTCCCTAGTGTAGTGATCTACCTTCAGTTGTTGGCAGTCTACAGCCTGTTTTTATATTGTATTGTCATCTATAGTTAAACTCTTTTAGATTTAATAACTAGTTTTAAATTCATCTCCGTGATAATCTAGTTATTTTACTGTCCTTCGTTGACAGTTTTTTCATTAATTAATTACTGTATATGCCAATTAATTGTTCTCGTCACGATATGGCTGAAATATTGCAGATGTGACGATAAATTTTCACTCACTCACTCTTACGATGTTTGAGTGCCTCTATGAGGCGCCGGTGTCATCAATGCTCATTGTGGACATACACGTTATTGACTGTGAATTTCATCTTGACTGTTTGACTCTCACTTTGTCCTCATTAGCATGTGTCCGCCAGAAAAAGTTGTAAAGTGCCATTTGCAATCCTATTGTGGAATGATTTTCTTGCCATATTTAAAAGGTCTCATCAAAAAAGTAACTTTAAGTCAGTCGCAATAACTTTTGCCTTTGGGTATATTTTTGCGAACACCACCGAATGTTTGAAATAAGATTATTGGTTTTCTAGAAACCATACTAATCTATTATTGACCACGCGTTCCACGCAGCTTGTTTATGAAATGGGTCTGTAGTTTGATGGATCAGTATGATCCCGGCCAGGTACAACAATGGCGCCATGAAGGGGAAAGTTTCCTGTTGTCCAAATAGTATCCAAAATGTTCAGGAGTGTTTCAAGGCATGGCTTGGGTAAATGTTTCAGGAGCTGATAGTGGATATTACATACTTCATTACAGTCTTCACCATCAGCGCGTGTTCCCATCGAACACGTATCTACTAACTTTTGAATGCCCGGTTCCACCTAGTTCTACAAATGTCGGATGTTTTGCGATGCGTTTGGAACTTTTCATCCAACGACCAACACGTTGTTTTAATTGTCAGAAGTTTGGCCATGGGCAAAATTCTTGCATGAATAAGCTCACTTGCTACAGATGTGGATCATGTGATCATGACAGCAAGACATGCACAACGCAATCAAGTGTTTGCATTGCAAAGGCGACCACGCGGCTTCGTGAAAGGAATACTCAGTTGGAAGTATGAAGCTACTGTCCAAAAACTGAAATGTGAGAAAAGAGTAAGCTTTGCCGAGGCCCGAAAACAAGTTCGTTTAATCATACCAGAAACATCAATCGCCTGTCTTATGCTTCGTCATCAGTTCCTTGCAAAACAGAACAGACGTGGGTTACATCAGGATACCCAAGTGGTAGCTAGTACATTATATTCAGACATTAGCTCAAATCAGACATCAGGAAAACAGAGAAACATCATCATCGACTCAAACTGAATATAACATTAAGCCATCTAAGTCTACTAAAGTGGACTCAGTGTCAAAGACACTGAAAGATATTGTGCAACTCCATAACAGATATGGGTTGCTTGAGGATATGGAGGTATCCGACAATGTGAGCACTAACGGCCATACTAGTGGTAACTCACCAAAAATACAACCGTAATTCAGTGGAACTTCAGATGACTGAGGACTAATTTCAATGAAATACATATATAAGTACAGGATTTTACACCGTCAGCAATCTGTCCACAGGAGATATATTTAAAACAGACATATACTTTTAACTTACGTAATTTCAGTGCAAATCACTATTTCTCACTTCCTAGTGCGAGGGCAACCGGAGGCTCTTCTATCCGTATTATCCACAGCCTTGCAACATTGACTGTTACATCTCCAAGCTGTTGTAGTGCGACGTTGCTTTTACAATAGGCTCTTTATATATCCAACCATCTTCAACTCAACTGGCTGATCTGCAAGCTCCTGATGATCAACCCCATGGACCCTAGTATGGTGATCTATCTTCAGTTGTAGTGTAAATCCAGCTAGGGTCCATGCAGGTAGCAAATGTAAGTCTACATGGACCCTAGTATGGTGATCTACCTTCAGTTGTTGGCGATGCATTGCCCATTGTTACATTGTATTATCCAAAATCGTTGTTTACTTTCAAAGCTATAAGTTAGCTAGTTTTAACTCATTTTGTGCAAAATCTGACAGGGTTTATAAGTTACGTGTATTTATCATGAATATAGAATTTGTTTTAGTCACGATATGGCTGAAATATTGCCGATGTGACTTAAAAACATAACTCACTCACTCCCTCACTGTCTCCAGTTGTTGGCGATCTATGGCCTCTTTTTATATTGTATTGTCCAAATAGTGCTATTAGTTTTAACCTTTCCACACTAGTTTTAATTGTAATTGTGATATTCTAGTTGTTTTACTGTCCTTTGACAAAAGATTTTTATAATATATCATTCAGTGCGTTTGGAATCTTTTGTTACACATGACATAATTAACAAACAGCATGCAGTGTCGATCTTTCTTATCTAGAAAAAGCATATGCGACCACATGGAAACATGATATTTAAGGAAATGTGCATGATTTTGGATTACGGGGTCGTTTGCCTCAATTTATATCCAACTCGAATTTCAAGTTCGAGTGGGTTCTACCCTGTCTGATCATTACAATCAGGACCAGGGTGTCCCACAAGGCAGTATATTGTCCGTCACATTATTTAGTATAAAGATTAATAGTTTATCAAAGGCTTTAAATGATTCAATCGATGGCTCGTTATTTATGGATGATTTTAACATTTCTTGTCGTGGCAAAAACATGCATATTACTGAACGGCAAATGCAAATTGTATACATTTCTGCCGTAAATACAAACCGCATAAAGACCCTGTACTATTTCTGAATGGCACCGCCTTCAAAGTTGTCAAGGAGGCCAAGTTCTTGGGTCATATTTTCGATTCACATTTAACCTTTATGCCACATATCTAATCCCTTAAAGCTAAATGTCTGAAGGCCTGTTAAAGGTTGTTTCCACTTCAAAGTATGGAGGGGATCAAACTACACTCCTTCACTTATATAGATCATTAGTGTGATCTAAACTTGATTATGGATCCATCGTATATGTTGGAGCCTGCAAAAGCAACCTACAAATACTTGATTCTGTCCAGCACCAAGGCTTAAGACTTTGTTTTGGGTCTTTTAGAACTTCTCCAGTTGACGGTCTCTGTGTTGAGGCCGATGAGCCAGCTCTTAACCAACGCCGTATAAAACTATCCGTGCAGTATATACACAAACCAAATTCTAACGAGTCACATCCTGCATTTAACTGTGTTTTTGATCCTCTTTATGAGGATTTATACAAGAAGTCTTCTTTTGTTCCATCTCTTGGTCTAAGAATTAAACCATCCATTTTTTCTGCTGCCGGCATTGAGCTAGAAAATACATCTCCTTTTTTTCTTTGTTAGGCCACAACCTTAACCACATTTACAAAATCAGCAACTAATGAATTACAATATAAACAAGAATTTAATCAATAAAAAAATAAATATTATGCATACAAATTACAGATGGGTCCAAGGATGGTGGAGCAGTTGCTTGTGCCACTATCATTGGATCTAGAACGATATCCCCTAGATTACCAGCTGACAGTTCAATAACCACGGCAATATTAACAGCTCTTAAATATACTGAACATCATTGAAATCGCACCAGTCTAAAGTCCCTGGTATGGTGATCTACCTTCAGTTAGTGGCGATCTACAGGCAGTTTTTATATTGTATTGTCCAAATAGTGCTATCAGTTTTAACTTTCCCCACTAGTTTTAGTTGTAATTGTGATATTGTAGTTATTTTACTGTCCTTCGTCGACAGGTTTTTATAACGTACATATGTTCCATTTCAATGTCAAATATTCTCATTTCACTTTTTATTGTATAAATTGTTTTCGTCGCGATATGGCTGAGATATTGCCGATGTGACGTTAACAATTAACTCGCTCACTCACTCAATTGTCCATATTTACATCAAGATGCAATTGGTGTTTTATTTTAGAATTTCTTGTACAATGAACATAGAGAATTTTCTGGGTTTCATCTTCGCTTTATTCTTGAATACAACGTTTCAGGGCTTGTTCTGGCCTCATCATTAGTTTTACCTTAACAATACAGGAGAAAAATATATGATTCTTTATTTATCATGATTTTTTTATGATAAATACAGAAAGTGTTTTTGATATGTGACCAGAAAGTAGTCTATTTATGTGTTCATTTAATCGTAAGCCTTCCTGTGTTCATCTGTATGTGTTTATTTGTATACAGCTACTGTACAAAACGGCATTTCAAAGCTGGAAAGCATGGACCTGTCCTCGATCACGGATCAACTGACGAACCTCAATATCCCTGGCAAAGAGTTCATAGGACAGATGAATGAAATGTTAGATGGGATGCTAACAAAGGTGCGACAAAAGTATAAAAAATATAAGTAATTGATGTGATGTGGAAGATATTTGAGTATTTCAGAATGTGTTTTATTCAGGGGTGCGTAAAAAAGCAAGGTTTTCTTCCAGGAATACCAGTAATTGCTTAACAAAATGAAAGATGTCATTACGCTGGGAAAGTTTAACGCCTAGAGTGCATTTGCAATACTAGCAAAACGTTCCTGCCCACAAATCTTAGTCGAAACACAACGGGGATGGGGAAGGTTTGGGGATTGATTCTAAGCTGGAGGTTGCACGTGTTGTGGGCGACACCTCGGTATAGACCGGTGACGTGGGAATGATCTCTCACGACATCCCCATTCAGGGGCTGGTCGCACATGTAGCAACTCTGAGCCTTTTCGTGATTGTAAGATTGGAGTAACGTTTCGGCCACGTCGAGACCTCGGTAGATCACATCAGACGACCACGTACCCGAACCCGCATGCTTGGTGTTCTTGCATTTTGTACATGAAACTGCTGTTCGTTTCGGGGGATGTGACGTGGTCGACCCATTTGATGAATGCTTCGAAGTCAGCGTAAATGACGTAAGGCACGGGCATTGGATGTTTGCATTTATGAACGTTGAGATGTTTTGATGTCCTCGAGGCATGTCGATTCGGATGCAGGTCTTCTTGCTTGAAAACGGTTTTGTTTTTCCACCTTTGTCATTTGAGAGATGGGTGTGGGTTCGTCGACACCATCCATGTTCAGCCCACCGTCTGCGGGATAACTTGAAGGTCTGTTTGTCACTTTCGAATCAGCAGGGAGTAAGGCTGATCTCAGCGCCCATCTTAAGCAGTGATCGTTTTTGTTTTTTACGTTCACCACGGTTTTTTGTTCTTGTAATATGGAGGCAAGTCTAGGTACGATCAGCCTCTGAACGGTACAGAGTTCGCTGTATCCAAATAGATGGTGCTGATACTTCCCACCACCCAACTGGAGACTCTGTGCTTCCATCGTTCCAATGATTCTTGTATTTTTTGTAGTGAGGTATCTAGGGTTGAAGGGATCAAGTCTGATTGAAGTGGAAGTACGACTTCCTGCTTGCCTCTGAAGTAAGGCTCGAAGGACTCGGTACTGCCGTCCGTCTGCTGTTTGTTGAGCGACATGTGGATGGTCAACTGGTATTTGATACTTTTTAAATCATCCAGCTCTTCTTCGACTTTGTCGGCAATCAGAGGTTTGACGCTGTTGACGTCGATGTTAGACTGCATGGTCATTTTCCAGCCTCTCAGACACTTACCCATGGCATGGTCCGTCCGATCTCAACTCGACTGGCTCGGTGTCTTCCAACAAGTTGAGCAGTTGGGCTTTCCTCATGCGAGAATAACCCTACAATCCCCGTTCTTTAGCCCGGAGTTTGAGGTCTCGTGCAGTAGGGGGCTTGACATGTTTCATGTCGAGCAAGGGGAGCAGTTGGGGTTTCCTCATGCATTCCACCAATCCAAGACTTTTAGCGAGAGCTTTGAGTTCGCTGACGGTAGTCATGATTGCTATATCCACATGTAAACTCAAATGTCTAATTGATTTGATATATCCACATGCAAAGTCAAATGTCTAATTGCTTGATTTCAAAGGGAGATAACTCCATCAGCCTTCATTATGTTAAATGAAGCGCACATAAAATCTTTTTCTTTTTTAAAAATCTTTATTCTGAGGAGTTGGTTACGTTCGTTGAGATAATCTTTTTTCTTCTCGTAAATAAGTTGGTTTCGGAACACGTCTGCTCCGTGGGCTTTACAAAACCCATAATGGCATTTCACTCCAATACCGCATACCGAGCACGTGTAATTCACGGTTATCATTTGTACGAGCATGTGGTCCAACTCCATCTTGTAATACATCAATCTGTTTTTAAATCTAATAATAATAAAATCTGACATAAACCAAACGGGCGAGATGAATGTCAGGTAAAACAACACGAGAATTTCAAACATCGTCACGGTTTTAATCTATAGGAGGTATACATTTAATTTTGAGAAGCATGTTGCTTGGTTTTGCTAACCAGGTTGCTTGATTTTGCATAGCAGGTTGCTTGATTTTGCTAAACTAGCACAGCGCATAAGCAACGGGTTGGTCTGTTTTCAGCACGAGTTTGGCGTGCTTCGTTTCAGCTAACTAGGTTCTCACGCGTTCTCGCTCAGATTTTGGTGGGAATCATGTCGTTTTCCCTTAAACATTCCTCCGAACGAATCCCTGTCCTTCCAGTGAAACAGGATGACCCATTGCGTCTGTTCTCTCAGGTCTTTCAGGACAGTTGAACATTTGCGTGAAGACCCAAACGCTGTGTTTCATGTGACGTCCCGAAAAGGCCAAATACGATAACATATCTCTCTTTTTGGTGATCTCTTTATTCCCACTGCAATCGTCTAGGATAAACAGCATCAATTCTCCCTCAAACTTCTCGTGAAAGGCTCGCAACCAGTCCTGTAAATGTACTCCTGGGTTGATTTTATGTCATTAAGTCGTTAATCAGCAACACTCTGTTCGTGTATGTTTTATTGATGCGTATCGTAGGGCAAAGAATCACGATAGGATCGAACATATTCCGATAGTACCCTTCCAGCATATCCAAGACAAACACGGTCTTCCCGCATCCCGTCTGACCGCACACAGTGTTGCAATGCAGATCGCGAGGCAAGGCAATAGATGGCCTACAGGAATCTTCCATTGTCTATATTAAGCTGCGCATCCATGATCACGTACAAATAAAGGTTTAATTTACACACGGTTTGAGCCTTTTTGCTGCCAGTCTCGATGCGTCGATAGTCATCTGTGGATCGCATGTCCAACCACAGCGTGTACTTGGTCCTCAGGTACTGGTTGACTGTCATGTAGGCGAGACCAAGGTCCTTGACGATCGCGTTGATTTCCAGCTGGCGCTCGTCCCACTGATGGTAAGCCGCATGCCTTGGCTGAACAGCTGGTTGGGCATGCCCTAGACGGTCACCACGACTAATCTTCGGGTTCCAATACTTTTCATTGCCCCTTCGAAACGGCGAAAATTCTTCCACCGACAGGATCAAAATGCCCTTCATCTATTGCATGTGGGTACGTTCAGGTTGATGTTCCACAGCGTGTTGCTCTTGTTCACGATGATCTTCCAATGACGCAACACACGATCGTACAGAATGGCTAATGTGCCCGAATACTGGTTGCGAATCTGTCGAGCCAGTTCCGGATTCGTCACCTTGTAAAACTCCAGCGAAATATTGTCGATAGTGTAGTGACCCTTTTCGCCGCTCTCCGTCACAATCTCACCTACTACCCGTGATGGGCGAACATCAGTCAACGTCAAGGGAACAACAAGCTATTCATTGATGGCAATCGCCACGAACTGTCCGACGGTTATTACAGATTGTGCATGCTCAACAATGAGATATTCAAACCCATGGGAGCCACCCTCAAACTCAATGAGTCGAATGGTACGCTTACGTTCACGAATGGGGAAAAACCCTTCCGATTCAGTAGGCCCTTGGCTAGAACGCTCAGGTTTCCATCGAACAACCCTGAGACACCATCATGTGTTCGAAATTACCGAGGCTTGTGGTCTATCATGATGTGTTCATTCATCTCAAACAGACAACATTCAAGGCGAACCCCCTTCAACCCTGCTGAGATACGTGCTGGGGAAAACGGAAAAGTGCAACGACGGCAAAACGGAATCGTTTTCGACCTAACAGTACAGAAAGTTAACGCGGAGCAACATCATGGAACTCAAACTATTCGTTTTAGATATAAGACATAAACCCATACATATCGGCTATCTTAGTGCCACGTTGTACATCAAACAACCATGACTCAAGCTTCGGGTCCAGGAACGGCCATGCAAGTTAGAAAATGCACCAACCTAGTAATCTCTGAACTCGGGGACACGCGGCTTCGAAGAACCCGGGGTCGAAAGGCAAGGTATATGCCTTAGAATTAAGAAACAACGTTTACAGACGAAAAGAAGTCAGCAGTGGTGGGGGTAACATAGGAGATTTAGACGATGTCCTCACCATTGGTCTCCTTATAAACGCCCAGTACAATCTCATCTTCAATGACAATAACAAATGGATGATGGTCCCGGCATTCGATGGCAATCTAAGCTATTTAGTCAATGTCGAGACCCGAGGTCTCTTAAAAAACATGTTGTACCAGTTCGTCCTAACCGATGATAACTGATGGACGTTGAACTCCTCACAAATCGACTGGCTACTAGATATCACCCTCGTTTCTCCCTACGTGTTTGCGGAGACGAAGGATCACTATTTAACGAAAGTCCTTAATAAGGAGATTCTCATCGCATCTTACATCCCCTCACAACGAAGGAGTGTGCTCATGAGCCTCATCCCTAGAAATGCAGGTCATTTGTTAGCGAGTCAAACAGATATCCGAAATACGAGTTTACAGTTGGTGCCTGAATTCGAAGACATGTCTAATGTCCTAGAAGGGATTCCAACCAATTCAACGCTTTATATCAAAGTCTTTCTCTGGGAGGCATCACCCAACCAAAATATTGATATTATACCAGTAGTATACTTTAGTTGGCCTCGAAAACATCAAAATAACGTGTGCTCGATTTATATACAGAAAGATGTCTACACTTACGCGAGTCACGAAGATGTCACGATCGCCCTCACGAAGATTTTTTTACCTCCAAAAATCCATCTCATCAGCTAAAAGTTTATGCTCGAGAAATTATCAGAGAACCAATTGAAGGCTCTTCCCTAATACGAGTATAATCACCATGAGTAATGTGTCAAACCAGGCTACTATCGCATTCTCCGATCTCGGGGACACGAGGAATCGACCAACCTGATACGGAAAATGCCTTGTACGTATTGCACTTACAAAACAGCGTCTACCAACGACGAGAGGTGATACTAAAAGTTGACTGGTTTATTAACTTTAAATTCATCTACCCCTACATAAGTTTAGATGATAATGGTTACATCATCGAAATAAAAAATAAAGGGATTATTTGGACGATTGACACTCCAGCACCTCATTCGATACAACTTTTGCAAATACCAGATCATAGTGGCTCTACGTTAGCCCCCACCCATAAACAAGCCGCACTGATATTTGGTATTCCCTTATATCAATTTGATTTTATAAATCCAGATTTCAGTATGAAATTACATTCAACACTGATTATGGAATGCTATCTTGGAAATGCCCCCGAAAATTAGGTGATCATTTTGGATGGGTTAAACATAATGCAGGGTTAGCGAACATAGACCTCAACGTTGCCATATTTATATACAACCTGGAACAATGGCATTGTGTAATCAAACCTGGAACAGTTCCTGGAGTTTTTTGTTCGTATTCCTGATACCATTAAATCCATTATAGTATCAAGGGTTTATTTATGTGAGAATCTCAACCTCATTAGCTATAAATATATTAATCAAAGATTGACGGAGGACCATTTGAAGCTTATTTCCTAACTTATATTATACTCGAGATGGGATTGCATCCGGCCATGGACGAAGTGGCTCAAACGCTCGAAAACATGGATGGATTTTGCTTGCGACAGATCAGCGAAATTAAATGCCAATTGGAATGGGAATGCGACGTGCAACTTCGATTGCAAAAAAAATACCATCGAGCCATCAATGCCATCGACGGCGTGGACACATTTCTCGTGGCAATTAGCATGGGTTTAGGCATAGCAGGCATTGGCTTTTTATCCACCATCGTGGCCACACCTGTCCTCCTCGGGTTAGAAATAACCGCTGGAGTATAGGGGTTGGCGGGAGCAGCCCTTTAAATTCATTTCACGTCGTCTGCAATGAAAAGCGCTGAAGCATGACGAGATCAGGATTCTGGCCGAAGCTAGGTTAAACACAATCGAATGTCATATTTCCACCGCGATCACCGATAGCAAAATCTCTGAGAAGAGGTTCGTTTCGTGATGTCAGAAATCGCAAAATACAACCAAATGAAAGAAGAGATTCAAACCAAGACTCGGAAAACCGCTGACATCTGTGTAGACATGAAAAAAAGCTCATAGAACAGGGTCGACAACATATCATTCAAACCTTCCTTACCAAGAACAAAGATCTCATCAAAGATTCACCTTAAACTATTTTGTTGATGTAAACATAACCTAGTAAAAAATAATAAACCCTCATCGTATTTCTACTTTTCTAGAAACCTACATTAGGTCAACCCGACCGTAGGCAGTCAGGAGAGAGCAGCTAGGCAACAGCTACTGTTTACATCAATGCACATCAAGCAAACTGTTTTTGTAGATTTTAACAATGTAACTCATACGCATTCCAAGCTTATGTAACCCGATTTTAAAATAATTGATTTTGGCTTCTAAATATCTGTTCAGCGTCTGGTTTCAAACATCCTTTTCACTACAACCAGCCAGCAACCCCAATACGGCTGTGTGCCTTGCTTTGTATTCAATACCCGCGTGACATGCCACAGCCAGAGAAATACTCTGACGTCTGGTCTAGACGGCGTTGCTAAGCTAGGCCACCATCTTTGTTTGGCTTAACAACGACGGGTCTCTCAGACCCGGCGTTACTAGGCTGGACGGACATCTTTGTTTAGCTTAGCAACGACTGGTCTGGCAAGCCCGGTGTTACTAGGCTGGATGACCATATTGTTTAACTTAGCAACAACGGTGCTTGTTTCACTTGCAAAAAGTTTCCGCCAATACCCCATCTCGAACTCACGTGGCTGGAGTCCTACGCTCTACCATTGCTCAACCGATCAGTCAATATTCGGAAACTTAGGTCCAGGATGGAAGCACATCGAAGGATGCCTCTCGATAGACCAACGCTGTTTTTAAGAGGGGCTGGGGAACTTATTTAGTACAAATAAGCCTCTAAGCCGCATGTGCGGCAAAACCCCCCCACCCCCACACACTACTACTACTATATGTATTGTTGGTGTCACAATTGCTTATCTAATAACAAAGACACTAGAAAACGTTTTGAAAACATTTCTGTTTATGTTATGATTCCGATTCAATTAGTGATATGGTTTTAAGTCCTGTGAATTTAATTTAGCAATTGTCCTAGTGTTTAAGTGTATTAAGCATAACTTTTTTACACAGGGCAAGCAGGCAGTGAAAAGCTTATATGAAAACTCTAAGTGCATCTTACAAAATATTGTGAAACCCATGAAACAATTCTTTGCTCTAATAACCATACTTTCATTTAAGATAACAGAGACAAAAGCTGACCCAGTTGGGGCTTTTACGGAGGAGATGAAAGTTCAAGATGATTATGAAGACAATCAGGCTTATCCACTTGGAAAACCCTTCTACTTTCCTTTCTTCCCACCTGGATTGGCGACGTTCTCATATCTATTAGGACCTTTCCTACTTTTCATATGTACGTCATCCCTTTAAGAAGATTAAGGTGTGGTTAGTGAAGTGAATTGGTGAAACAGCGTACCTCAGGCTTTGAAAGTATTGCAGTGGTTAATATATGTCGTTAATTGCTAAACTTCCTCTTAATGGAAGCATAAAAATGTCATGATAGGCCTGCTTTGGGTATTGAACATGACACAGATAAGATTGTCGTGCGATCTGACTGCATCAAAGGTACAATCAACTGTCAGTCATGACATTTCGCTTCGAAAATGGGCAAATCTGCTGTTGTAGCAAAGCAAAAATAACTTGGTTTCCGCATTGCGGAAACCTGCAGGAAAGTGGACTGAAACTTAAGTTTCCACCTAGAATCCAGTGAGTTTCCGTCCTTTTACAATTACCCACTTTCTAAGGGTTTCCACAAGGTTTCCGTTACCTACAATCCGACAGGTTTCCGCAAGGTGTCCATTACCCACACTCCAACAAGTTTCCGTTGAGTTTCAGTTAACTTTGAATCCATCAGGTTTCCGCAAGGTTTCAGTTACCAACAATCCGACATTGATTCCACATAGTTTCAGTTGAGTTTCAGTTAACTTTGAATCCATCAGGTTTCCGCAGAGTTTCAGTTACCAACAATCCGACATAGATCCCACATAGTTTCAGTTACCAGTTTCAGGTTCACAGGTTTTCATATGCGTTTCAAAGAGCCAAATTTAAACATTCTTCTTTATTCATATTATAAACTCCTGTTAAAACAATATGAGCAATTTGTTATTATTATGACGTTTACTTAAAGAACAACAGAATATATAATAAGATTCACTGTTTTATTTTCTCAATATGAATATGAATTAGCATTTAAGGAAAATAAAGATCGTACATATAACTAATAATACAGCACTAAAGAACAGAGCAGAACATTTTCACATAACTCAATCCAGTTTAAGAAATCATATATCATTTATAACAAAGTAATCATTTTTCATCAGTTAAACTTTCATTCAGTTATTATTTTGAAATAGCATTTAAGATATGAAATTTGTCTCTAAAATCATGCTAATGTTGAAAAATAAAAAACCGCACAATTTAACACAGTAATAAAACATAGCTGCATTGAACATTTATTTGCATGCCTTGGCATTCAGCCACACACTCTATGTCACAACTATCGCCAAACATCCACTATGATTTTACATCATACAGTAACACAACATACAGCTTGCAATACAAAAATAACATAAAATAAAAATTACATTATGAAATTGAAAATAAAGTCAATTAAATTGCAAGAGTTGGTCAGTTAGTGTATAGCTAGCCCACTTAGGGGCATCCCTGGGCGGAGATCCCTCTGTTATTTTGGCTGGATGCCTCATTATCATGTCATGCCTTGGATAGAGCAGTGGCGGCGTTGATTCTTTCCAAGTCCAGTGTTGTCGTGTATGCCCTAAGCTTGCTGGACTCGCAGACAAAGGGGACAGAATTCAACTAATTGACGTCATCTTCGTCTCTCATGGTTCTGTCATGTCTATGGTGAGTGTTGTCGCTACCTTTTTCTTTCGTCTATCTGGCCAATCGATAGGTGCAAGTCTGTTTAGGTGCTGTGCAAGTTTCTGAAAATGGCAGGTAATAACAAATTACTAGTTTTTTTAATATATTATACAAACATCAATCAACAAAAAACTGACAATGCCAAGGATGATTCAAAATAAGTAATCCAAAAGGAAGTTTGAAATAAAGAAATTGAACAATCACACTTTGCACTGGTTTTCTCAAAACTCAAATTATGCAATTCATCACACTTCATTGACCAGATGAAATATTTTATTTTCTAAAGAGGACACACCATCTATACAAAATTTGCTCTGGAGTTACGTGCTTCCCAGACCAGAGGTAGTAATATGTTATATATATCTGAACATTTATTGCATTTTCTATATAGTAATAATGGCACTAGTAATAGATTTTCATCAAATTGTGAATGCTTACACATGACAAAGGGGTAAGCATTCACTCTGAAACATGTTTTCACATAAACCTTGTCTCTACACTATTTATTGGAAATTATTTACTGTTTATAATGAAAGTCACTACAGAGGTCAAATTACCTTCACTATTTCCTGCTGACCACCCTTGGTCATTATACAGTCTCCAGACTCCTCCTCATCAGCTTTGCTGAAAAAATAAACAATAACACGTTACCTTTGTATTTCCCCATTCATTCATTCAAGTTATAAAAATACCCAAACATTTGCAGTAACATTTAAAATAGCAAGGAAACTACAGACTTATCACTTCAAGTTATGCAATCAGTAAGTGAACGGCCTTACATAAACATCCTGATGAATGTGAAGTTTAGTTATCTCATGTGACATATAACCTTGGAGTAATTACGGTATTGTAAAATCAAGGGGTTAGTTTGATTGCAATTTCACACAGGTGTGCAGTTAAGCTTTATTTGGTCCCATTTGAATTCACGATTAAGTTTACCGGTTATTCAAATCCATTTGCAAATGCAACTTTAGTATGGTTCATTTTGCGAAAATGTATCTAGGGAAGCATAATAATAAAATATTCAATGTGAAATTATGTCTATGTTTCGTAGTACCATAAACACGTACCTTCAATGAGCAAGGGTGATCTTTTCCTCCAGGAGTAGTCGTGACAAACGTTTTCTCACAACAGACTAAATGAATAAAACAAATCCATTAATATATAATCTGTTTGCTATATTTTTCAAAATTGTAATATTTTTTTAGATAGATTTATTTTACTTCACCAACCTTGGAGATAGTTCGAGCAAAACTGTCAATACAATCATGGGACTTAAGTTTTCGTCATTCGCAAAATTCGCATAGACTTGCATGCTATTTTAGTGTAGCTGCGTAATGTTCATTAATTCAGTTTCCCTTATTTCGTTGTCAAATTTTGCAGGTTGTTAGGAAATCTTCTTGGTCACAGATACATAATTTCCATGTAAAGTTCCTTAAAGTATTTTCCGCATTGTAGTCACATGAGCAACATATAAACAACAAAGATCTAGATAGAATTTCACAATGGGCCCGTAAGTGGCTGGTTACATTTCATCCAAATAAACCCGAAACTACTCAGTTCTCACGTAAAACGAAACCGTCTCTAAAACCGAACCTATTCATGGACGGAACAATCGTAACAGTAGTCAAAAAGACATTTATCAACAGGACTGGTATAATGAAATAACGTCATCAACCTGTGTCAACTTTTATTCAGAATAGAAATATTGTATTAATACAGAAATTTACCTTTCAAAGATTAAATCACCACAACTTAAGCGTACGCTTACTAAATTTAGATGTAACGCTTACAACTTCAAAGTCCAAGCGGCGCGATTTGCCAAAACTTCAAATGCAATAGATATCCAATGTCCATTCTGCAATTTATTGCAAGAAGATGAGTACCATGTATTACTTGTATGCCCGAAATATTTAGAAATAAGAGAAACATATTTGCCTTATTTTTTCAATAACCAACCGTCGAGACATAAATTCTGTATGCTACTTCGCACAGAAAACATTGACTTGTTGTTTAAGGTAGCCCGTGTGTTGTACCACATACTTAGGTTGAGAGAAAAAATGTAAATTGTGAATGGGTTTTTATGAATTTATTGATGTTCCTATAGCTCGCGTATTTACAGGTTGCGCATAAATGCACTGCTATTATTGTACACATGTACTATTGGCCTCAGGGCCACATATACAAATAAATATGTCTGTCTGTCTGTGTCAAAAGTCATAAACATTTAGGAATAACACTCCAAAGCGATTGTACGTGGAATGATCACACAAATGATATAGTTCGTAAAGTTCGCCCTATGATCAGTTGCCTGAGGTGTTTTAAATACGGACTATCACGTAAAACGTTGGATATTATGTATAAGTCCTATATCTTGCCAATATTTGACTATTGTTCGCATATTTGGGATAACTGTACGCCTGAGCAATCGCGTACATTAGAAAATTTACATCTTGATGCACTGAGAACTATATGTGGTGCCGTTCGTGGCACAAGTCATACCAAACTTTTTAATGAAACCAAATCTCAGTCCTTGCAAGATAGAAGGTATTGCCAGAAGTTAACTTTTTTCTATAAGATGTACAACAACCAATTGCCAAAATATCTTTGTGGCCTGATCCCAATCTCCGTCTCCGAAACTTCAAACTAGAGCTTGAGGAATAACTCTGAAATACAAGGAATTTACAGTCGCACTGCCTCTTATGCTAAATCCTTTTTACCTGCCACAATAAATTTATGGAATGCCCTACCAAATTCCAAAGCGTCATGTAATCTCACAGAATTTAAAAACCAAATTACAAAAACTGAAAATAAGATTTACTTTGACCTTAATTATGGCACTCGTTTTTGCCAAATCGTCCACTGCCGCCTCAGGCTCGGATGTAGCGACCTAAACGCCGATAGGTATAACAGACATTTAATAAACAGCCCATGTTGTTCTTGTGGACGTCAGAGTGAAAACGCCCTACACTATTTCCTCACTTGCCGTAACTTTACTCAACCATCTTCTCATGATTGACTTATATATCTACAATGGCTTGTTAGACACACACAACTGTAACTCTCTAACTTATGACTACTTAGAGAATAGTTGTATTTCATGTAATCTGTAGATATATATACATTTTAAAAATATTATATTTATGCAATGGTCAGTATCGATGACGTCAAATCCTCCATTTACATGTTGTATTATATGTTGCATGGGAGCGGTGTTAATATAAGCAGTATGGTTTGTTTCACATTATTTTTCAACTCCACTGTCATGTTTCCGGTTTGGTCGTATGCTTATCGATAGTGTAAATGCACTCTAAATAAAAGCTGTTATGAAAATTATTTACGTTGTGACAACTTACCATAGCTGAGTACATACTTCCATTTGCCTCCGCTTTTGAATAATTGATGTCCTATTTTGGTTGCGATTTCATCAGAGATGTGTTTGTTCAGTTGTGAGAAGGGGATGTCTGGGAAGAA